AGTACCGCGGAGTCGACGGGGGAGCCTGCCTGCCGAGTGTGGACCAAGGTAAGTTCGAACTAAGGTACTTCGACTTCAGCTACGTTATTCACGTAGCTGAAGTTGCGTACCTTAGTTCGAATTAGGGGGGTAGTGTAGACCAAGCCTTACCCACAGCACTACCAGCACAGTACCCCCTACCACAGCAGTACCCAATCTGTGGCCTTGGGTTCTAAATTATCGCCCTATGTGTTTGATTATGAATTGAAAATGTGTTTGCAGGGTCACTGAGCTTGCCAGACTGGATCAGCCCAGTGGGCCATCTAGTCTGCCATCCTTGCCTTTGACAGTGGCCAGAAACAGACACTTCAGAGGCAGGGATAAGAAAACTGCAAGAGGCAAATGTGAGATAATCTGCCCCCAGGGATGGTTTAAGCCCTGAAACAGGGAAGTTTATGTTCCTTCCAATTTTTTGTAGGCTTTACTGTTATAACTGGATATTTTTGTTATCCATATAAATGTCCAGTCCCTCTTTGAATCTTGCTAATGCTTGGCTTCAACAACTACCTCTGTCAATAAATTCCATGGTCTAATCACATGTTGTGTGAAAAAATATTTCCTTGTATTGGTTTTTAATTTGCCACCTTTCAGTGCCATTGAATGTCTCATTGTTCTTGTGTTAGGTGACAGGGAGAACAGAAGTTTGATTTATTTTGTCTAGGCCAGTCATTATTACAGTTATAGGAGAGGCTGGGACAGTTTGGAGAAGAGGGGGAAGAATAGGGTGAAGCTTGTGGGGAAATGGGCAGAAGAATCTGTGCCCACTAGAGCACACTCCCTTCCAGAGCTGGAATGGAACCCAAGATTCCTCACCATTTGTCTGCTGTCCATAAACATCTGTGAAACCCACTGGCAAATGTAAGAACATAAGAACGGCCATATTGGGAGAGAACAATGGTCCATCTAGCCCAGTATCCTGTCTTTCAACAGTGGCCAATGCCAGGTGCCCCAGAGGAAATGAATAGAAAAGGCAATCATTGACTGATCCATCCTGTCGTCCACTCCCAGCTTCTGGCAGTCAGAGGCCAAGGACACCCAGAGCATGGGGCTGCATCCCTGACTATCTTGGCTAATAGCCATTGATGGACCTATCCTCCATTAACTAATTATTTTTTTAACCCCATTATAGTTTTGGCCTTCACAACATCCCTTGGCAATGAGTTTCACAGGTTAACTCTCCATTGTGTCAAGAAGTACTTCCTTTTGTTTGTTTTAAACCTACTGCCTATAAATTTCATTGGGTGACCTGGGTTCTTATGTTATGTTAAGGAGTAAATGATACTTCCTTATTCAGCTAGCAAACAGGAGCGGCTAACAGGGGAGTTTCGTGAGAGAGTGCTCCAGGTGAAGGAGGAGCAATTACGTGACCTTTGGGGTAAGTTTGTTGTCTGTAGTGTGTGTGTTTGTGATGTGTTTGCTGCTTGACTGAAATATACTGTGTGGTCTGTTTGTTTGGGGGACTGTGTGCTGACCATGTGTGTGCTGAGCCTAGCGGCCTGCTAGGCAAGGCTGAGAGCTTCTTAATGAGGCTTTGATCCCTAAGCCCTGTAGCAACTATCAACCCTTAATCAGGGGATGGGACTGCTCAGGAAGACCAGGGCTTTAAAAAGCCTGCTCCTAAGCAACCAGAGGAGCTAGTGAACAGGAGCGGCTAACGGGAGTTTTGCGAGGGAGTGAGAGCCAGGAGGCTAGATACACTTAACATTCTTTAAACTTAAAGCCAAACACCCGCCCCCCCCCCGATAAAATCAAAACAACAACAGAGGAACGAGCTTCAGGAGTAAAAAGATAATGCAGGCAGAATTCCAGCAACAGAGTGGAAGCTATCCAGTTTATTGCACCCAATGCAGCATGTATGATTACCTGCT